CTGTGCAGGGATGGGGGCACGGGGGGTCCTCACCTTTGGAGGGGAGGAAGGGGGTGGGGCTGTGTTGTCCCATGAACCCCCCCAAACCTGTCCTCAGCACCTCCATCCCTGGCCATCTCGGGGTGACTCTTGTTCTTCAACCCCTGCACCCCACATGAACCCCCCAAAGGAACAATGGGGGCACAGTACTGCCCACCCACCCCATTGATCCCACCCTGTCCCTGTTGATCCCATTGATCCCATCCCATCCCACTGATCCCACCCTATCCCATTGATCCTGTTGATCCTATTGATCCCATCCCATTGATCCCATCCCATCCCACTGATCCTGTTGATCCTATTGATCCCATTGATCCCATTGATCCCATTAATCCCATTAATCCCATCCCATTAATCCCATCCCATCGATGCCATTGACCCCATCCCTCCCTGCGGGATGTAGGTCCAGGGAGGTCCCATGCCCCCCCAAACCCCCCATGCTGCCCCTCCAGGCTGTCCTGTGTCCTCTGGGGCACTTCAGGACACGGGGTCAGTGCTCCAGGTTCTGTTTTGTGGGGGCCAAACTCTGCTCCTGGCCTTGGCAGGGGATTGCAATCTCAGAAATAAAAAATCCTGGGAATCTCTGCGAGCTGATCCCGCTGCTCCCGGTGCCAGGGGTTCACATTCCCAACAGGCAGCAGAGCCAGGGACACCCCAACACTGCCAGAAACACTGGAGGTGTGATTTAGGATCAGGATTTTGCCCCCAAAAGTGGGGAGGAAATCAGGGATTAAGGAATTCCACCCAGGCCACATGGCCCAGGGCTAGGTCCCTGAATCTTATTTTGGAAAAACATGGCAAAACCAGGGAAAATTGCACCTTTTTAATGGTGCAAAAAGGATTTTCGGTACATGGGCATCACTGGCAGGAAACCTTTGGCCAACTGGTTTGGAGTTTTTCCTGTTTTCCAGCAGTTTTGGGGCCCCTCTGCAGGGCATTTCCTCTCTGATGGAATGATATTATTATTATTATTATTATTATTATTGTTATTGTTATTATTATTAATATTGATATTAATTTATTATTATTATCCCCTGGATTTTGGGGGTCATGGTTCTGGCACCCCATGACCACACACCTGGCTGAACAATTCTGCTTAATTATTTCCCCCCCACCCCCAAACTCCCCTTTCTCTGGGCTTTTCCCTGGGTTTGGAAGATTATGGACAGTAAATGAGCTTTCCCAAATTTTCCTTTGGAATTTGGCTACCCCCAGTCTGGGGCTTCCCAGATGTGAATCCTGTTGGAGGTGGATGGATTTGGGGTATTTTGGGGGGCGACATCTCATCCCCTGCCTCAGCTTGTCCATCTGTAAATGCCATCAAACCTTAAAAGACATCAAATTTAGAGGGAAGGAAGAGTTTTGGGGGAATTATTCCCTCCAGGAATGAATCCAGGATAACAGCAGTGAGGAGTTTGTGAGTCCAAAGTCTCCCCTGCTCAGGTTTAACTCATCCTTGGGGTTTCTCACCTGGGCAAACTCCGTTTTCCACCTTATTTTGGATCCATCTCTGCCTCATCAACTCTTAATTAATGTGGAAATTAAATCCACATGGAGACTGGGAGCATCCAAAATATCCTTCTCTCACCTTTTTTCCCCTCTTTCTTTATTTTTTAATATTTTTATTATTATTTTATGCATTTTCTTGCCTTCCCTCCATCTGTTGCTCGGTGGCTGCTCCTCCCTGCCTGCCCTCGCCACCATCTGGATAAATCATTTGTCGCATTAAATGCCAAAAAATACCCCAAAAAGTGTGAAAAACGGGATCTGTGACAGGGAAAGGATCCCGCTCCCAGATCCAGAGCTGGATGCCCACCTGCATCCAGCCTGGAATTACAATTAATTTTGTCTCATTAATTAGTCTCTCTCTCCCTTCCTTCCCTCCCGGGTTATGTGTGTCTCCTCCCACCCGCAGCAAGGAGAGAAATCCAAGGATTTTGGGGATCTTGTGCCCTGCTCAGCCTTTTGCTGCTCCATAAATCCAGTTTGGCTGCTTGGTTTGGACTGGGATGGATTATAGAAAGGTTCTGTGTTCCTTGTGTCCCCAGAGTCCCAGAAAACCCCACACATCCCTGAACTTTCCTGCTTCTCCTGACTGAGTTGCCTTTTCCCCAAATCCCTCCATCCTTTGGGAGCAGCAGTGGAGGAAGGGGGGATCCTGGGGCTCCTTGTGCTTTTGGGGAGCGTGGGAGCAGCCAGAGCTCAGCACTGGAACAGCTCCGGGTTTTGTGTCCCTCCAGACCAAACCCAAGGACCCCAAAACTCGGAGGAGCCCAAGGAACCGGAGCCCAGACACCCCAAAACCTGCAGAGCCAGAGCCTGGACACCCTGAAACCCCGAGAGCCAGAGCACAGAATTCCAGAGAGCTGCAGCCAGGACACCAGAGACCCGGAGCCCTGAAACCTGGGAGCCCCGAAATCCAGAGATCCCAGAATCCCGGGGCCCATCAGCCCGTCCCGGGGGGCAGGACACACATCCAGCCCTGTGTCCGGCCAGGAGGGTCCCTCACCCCAGAGCAAACAGTGGGTGAGTACCTGGGACCCCCAGAATCCCATGGGATTCCCTTCCTTTCCCCTTCCCATTCCCCCTTTCCCCTTCCCATTCCCCCTTTCCCCTTCCCATTCCCCCTTTTCCTTTCCCATTCCCCCTTTCCCTTCCCATTCCCCCTTTCCCCTTCCCATTCCCCCTTTCCCATTTCCCCTTTTCCCTTCCCATTCCCCCTCTCCCCTTCCCCTTCGGGGTCCCGGTTTGGCCTCGGCCGTTGAAGCCCCCTGTGTGACGGTGGGGGAGGTGGGAAGGGATGCTGATCCCACCTGCAGGAGGCAGGAACAGAAGCTTTCCCACCTTTTCCAGCCTCAGGTGCAGGAAAGAGCTGCCCCAGGGCTTTGGGATGTCACTCAGGGGAGCAGGAGGGGCTCCCCCAGATCTCTGGCAGCTCCTTGAGGCAGGTGAATCCCACCTGGGGGGTGAATCCAGAGCCCTCCCACCATGACTCCTGTCACCTGCTGAAGGAAGAGTCCCCAACACTTCAGGCTCCCTCAGGAAGCACCAGGGACTTGGGAGGGCAGCCAGGTGTGACCTGGAGATTTGGGGACCCACCTTGGGCTCCAGAGAGGTGGTTTCACCTGGCCCATCCCTGCTTTTTAGAGTTTCTGAGGGGCTGAGAGGGGGAGAGAGGGACCCCAGACAGCCCCTGGGAAGGCCCAGGCCCTCGCCCAGGTGGTGACAGCCCCTCCTTGTCCCCTCTTGCAGCATGTGGCAGGTGTGACCGTCCCCAGCTGTGCCAGGTCACCATGGAGCCGTGCCCGGCGCAGCCCCAGGAGGCCCTGCTGACGGTCAATGAGCAGGTACAGCCCCCCCTGCCCCCCAACACCGGCCCAGGGCCTGAGACACCTGCAGGAAATTCCAGAGCCTCACCTGGCCCTGCACCACCTGTGGGGCTGGAGGGGACACTCAGGTGTGGGGTGTGGGCTCTGTTTTGGGGTGCTGTGGATGTGGGGGGTACCCACTGTGTTTTGGGGTGCTGCAGGTCTGGGGGTACCAGCTTGATGGGTTAATACAGGCTCAGGTGGAACAGCCAGGTTTAATTAATCATTAATTAATGTCCCTGTGGGGAGTTTTACCCTCTCTGATGTAACACCGTGGTCATCCCCAGTCCTCGGGGCCGGGCCCAGAAATGAGTCTGGGGGCACTTTGGAGGCTCTGATGGTTCCTGGCCATGCTGGGACCCTCTGAGGGGCTGAGCCAGCCCTGCCCCAGCGGGAGTGGGAATGGCCCTCCTTGAACCCCATTTTCCATTTCATGGCCCCATTTACCCCTCAGGACATCATTTACCATTTCAGAACCCCATTTATTCCCTTTTAGGGGCACATTTCAGGAACCCATTTACCCTTCCGGGACCCCATTTATTCCCTGAGGATCCTTTTTCTCTTCAGGACCCCATTTACCCCTTCAGGGCCACACTCGGAATAGGAATGTCCCTCGGGAAAGGGAATGTCCCTTGGGAATGTCCTTGGGAGTAGGAATGGCCCAACACCTCCCGGGGTGGGTCTGAGGGGGTTTTGCAGTTGTGAAAGGCAGGACCTGCCTGATGGATGAGGAATCCAGTCCCAGGGGGATAAGGATCCCAATCCCAGGGGGATGAGGATCCCAATCCCAGGGGGATGAGGATCCCAATCCCAGGGGGATGAGGATCCCAATCCCAGGGGGATGAGGATCCCAATCCCAAGGGGATGAGGATCCCAATCCCATCGGGATGAGGATCCCAATCCCATCGGGATGAGGATCCCAATCCCATCGGGATGAGGATCCCAATCCCAGGGGGATGAGGATCCCAGTCCCATCGGGATGAGGATCCCAATCCCAGGGGGATGAGGATCCCAATCCCAAGGGGATGAGGATCCCAATCCCAGGGGGATGAGGATCCCAATCCCATCGGGATGAGGATCCCAATCCCATCGGGATGAGGGATGAGGATCCCAATCCCATCGGGATGAGGATCCCAATCCCAGGGGGATGAGGATCCAATCCCAGGGGGATGAGGATCCCAATCCCAGGGGGATGAGGATCCCAATCCCAGGAGGATGAGGATCCCAATCCCAGGGGGATGAGGATCCAATCCCAGGGGGATGAGGATCCCAATCCCAGGGGGATGAGGATCCCAATCCCATCGGGTTGAGGATCCCAATCCCGCCCCTGCAGGGGCTGCTCCTCACGGCCCTTTCTCCCTGCTCTGGCTCCAGCCCCAGCACAAACCCGTCCCCTCCTCCCCGGGCTGGGCAGGGGGTGCAAACCATTAACCCCGAACATTTCCTGCTCTCCCACCTCCCCCCGGCTCAGAACAGCCAAATCTTCCTGGATGGGGCTGATTTTCACCGAGGGGAGAGAAGGAGGAGAGGGGAGAGGGGGAAGAGGTGGACGGGAGATGCCCCAGAGCTGCAGAACACAAAACCAGGAGGCAATGACGGCTCAATTCCCCCTCACCACTGAGCCCCAAAGCCAGGAAAACCGAGAGCCTGGGACCCATCCTTTGAACCTTGCTGTGCTTGGAGGGCTCCCTGCTCTGCTCAGGGATCTCCTGCTCCTCACCAAGGCCTGGTGGTCTCTCCCTGGTGCCACAGCCCTGCCCTGCAGTGCCACTGAACTCCCCAGCCAGGCTCTTTTAACAGCAGATCCAGAGCAAGCTGCTTTTGTAGGGCTGGGTTTGGGAGCTGCTGGAGCTGGGGTTTGATTCCCCCAGGGCACAGCCAGTCCAGTGTTTTGAGACAGGTACATCAGGTGATGTTTTCTAAAGTAAATCAGGTTAAATGTGTTCTCTAGCATTGGACACACTTCCATCTCCCACCTGTCAGCATTCCTTGCATTCCATGCACAGCCCATTGGGATCCATCCCTTTCCCTGTGAGAAAAACAGGTTCACTCTCCTGATAAAATTTAAAAGTTTAGTAAAGGACAATAGGAGACAAAGACAATAAAGCCAAGTTTATCAGCTGGGTGCTTGGCATTCAGCCACACCTGTCACCTTGGAGACACCCTTTACATACTTTATCTATTGCATCATCCTGTTGCATATTCATAAACAATTATGCATATTTAAAGGTTTCCCTGAACGAATTGTAACGTTCCAAGAAGTGTTTAGCGTGGCTCCTCCTCAAGTCCACCTTTTTGGAGCGTGCACATTTCCTGGCTGTGGTTTCAGTCCGTTCTTTTATCACCTCCAGCCTGGGTTCTGGTCCATTCTTTCCACAGCCAGTGAGTGCTGATGGTTGATAAGTGCTGGTATCAGTAGCAGGGGTCTCAGTACGTTTGTTGGATGTTATCCAGCCAAGCTCACTTACCACAAGCATAACTTCATCAGCTTTTTCACTACTCTGTCTAAGTTTAGTTAATAGCAGAAATAAAAACTATATAGCAAAGTTACTTTAACATTATACATGCAGCACCCACTTTCACAGTTGTGAATTATAATATTTATATTATAATTATATATTACAATTATAATTGTACATATTATAATATGTGTTTATAACAGCTGCACCTCCTGTTCCGTGCTGGGGTGAGATAAAGTCACAAACCCTCCCAGGACACCTGGTGGGAGCCCCAGCTTCCCTTGGATCCATCCCTATCACATGGGGACAGCTGGGAGGGCGTTTGCCCATCTGGACACACCCAAACTGTTCCTTGTGGAATATTTGGCTGGTGAGGGATCCAGAGATCAGGGAGCTTTTTCCCTGGAATTGCAGACCCTGGGAGATGGGAATGGCACAGGACAGCCCCATCTGTGTAACCATCACCCCCGACTGGGATAACCCAATGTGTCCTGGATAAAAGTTCTTGGGTTGGGATGATCCAGCATGTCCTGGATAACAATTCCCAGCTCCAAGATATTCCCATGGGCTCAGCTGCCAAAAAAAAGTGGGATAAATCAAACTCTTAACACTATTTTTAGTCCTAGAAAACAGCCCTGCTTTATTCACTCCCCAAACTCACCCCTCCCATACACTTCCAAAGCTTTTCACTATTTCTACATTTTAACAAACAAAGAAATTCATGTCCATTGGCTATAAATTACAGAATTGACATTAATTAGCATTCTATCCTCTGTTGGTTATTGATTCGAATTCTTGTGCTGATTAATTCCCATTTTCAGTCGATTGCTTTTTCCCAGCTGGGGAGACTTTCAGTTCAGCTGTGAACTGTCCGTGCCTCTTCTTTATCTCTGGGTTCTGCAGAATGTCCTTGTGCTCTGTAAATCCTGCATTCCTCACATCCAATTCCAGCAAAAACATCTCCCTCTCCCAGGCTTTGTTTATTGAAAAGTATCAAGGTTTGTTCAGCAAAATTCAAAGTTTCAGCGATTTTCCCAAACTGAGCTCCCAAAATAGCAGCTCATGACAAACCTTGCTAAGTGCTGGCTGCAGTGGAACTGTGACACTGCTTGTGATTAATGAAAGCCATTAATTAGAAAAGTTAATTAAAACAATTAATTAGGAAAGTTATATTTCCAACAGAGAGGCACAGTTTGTAAATGGTTCAGGAAGGGTTGGGTGGGAGCTGGGAAGAGATTTCCTTGTGTTTGATCCCTTTGCAGTCCTGTCCCTCCTCCTGCTCTGGGATGGGCCCTCGGGACATTTCCCTGTGTTTTGTCAAGGTTATTTTGTTCCCTTGTTCATATCTCTGAAAAATTCAGCCAAATCATCACAAATCTAAAGCCTTCTAAGGCAAAACTGATACAAATTCCTTCAATTGCGTGATTCCAAATACTCATTAATGCTGGTACCAACTCCCAGGCTTAATTTGGTTCAATTCCCTGATTTTCAATTAGTTGAGACAAATTTATACATAAGATAAATGTACATTTAATCTAAGAGAAAATTACAATCTTTTCCCAAACCATTATTATTTTCCAGTAAGAAAAGACAAAATTAACTTAGCAAAAAATCAAACTGACAGCACATAAAATAATCTGTTTTATAAAATCCCAGTAATATTTAGTTACCCAATAAATTGCCCACAATAAAAACAAATCAACAGTTGGTATTATTAAATTGATAATACAGGCAGTTATTTTGGGGACAGTTAACAGTTTTCATTGGTCCCACACAGCTCAAGCAGGTCCTGTAAAAGGGAAAATTCAGGCCAGTTGTTAAAAAGCAGGAAAAGTCCATCGAGTGTTGATTCAATTCCCAGCTCCTTTTCTCTTCTGGCAGCTACAGGGTGAATCTCTGGCCTGGGTGACTCTGGTGAAAGGGCAGAGTGACCACCCCAAATCCTGGGATAATCTGGGAGCCTTCCCTGCAATCCCAGTGCTCTCCCCGCCTGGGGCAGTCAGAGTGCTCAGCCCAGGCTCCTGGGGGAGCTGGAAATGGGAATGTGCCACCAGTGCCCAAGGACCCTGTGGAAATCCCATCCTTTCAATCAGGAATTCTGATTTTCCCTTTTCTGCTGCCCTAAGGGAGCAGCCACCCCCCAGACTGGCCTTCCCTGTGCCAGGTTTATGTCCTGCAGGAATTGCAGCACCCCTGGCGTGGGTCAGGAGCTGGCAGAGCTCACAGCAGGAGGAGAGTGACCACTGGGCACAGGGCACAGTGACCACTGAGTGACCCTCGATGCTGCCACCCTCAGTGACCCCCTGG